CCACGCCAGCAGGCCTAGAGCCCTAACTTGGTCAGGATATGGAGGGGGAATGGCAGACTGCTGGACCCCTGTGGCATAGGCATCAGTACTTCCTGTCAGCATGCTGAAGGTAATGGGTACTGGAAGATTGGCGGCCCGGTTAGTCTCTGCCTGTTGTCTACATTCCTCTTTATATAAAGCTGACCATTTAATAAAGAGAGGGCTAGGAAGGACAGCTCTAGCAAGATCCGTCCAGTCCCGGGCAGTGCATGGCTGGTAAACCAAGCCTTGCAACAAAGTCTCTACCCAAGGGGACCCGGGGCCATCTTCCGTGATGGCTTTCTTTAATTCTTTAATGTCTGAGGCCTCCCAGGGATACCAGATAGCTGGGCAGTGCCCCCCCCAGGTTAATGTTGATGGGATATAATTGGGGTTCCTCGAAGGGGTACTTTCTTTCAATACCATAATCAGGTGGTGCCGTCGCGCCTAGGGGGGAATTTTGGCTATCCTCCATCTCATTTTTAACAGGGGGTTTAAAGGGCTGGGGGCCACCTCAAAGGGATCTAAGGAGGGATAAAGGTTTCCCTGAGAGGTCGGTGGGCTCTCCTTCCTCTGCATGGCCTTTGGTGGGTCCTCCTTTTTTTGTGTGGCTTCCTTATCAGGATGGGGGGTAACTAACTTAGGAAACTCAGAGCAGCCCCCCCCTTATTGGGGGCCGAGGAGGGAAACAGCCCTTGAGGGCTGAGATCGTGGGGAGAACTCCCAGGGGTGGGATCTTACCCTTTTCTATCTGGGACCTTTTCGTGAGTCTCTCTACCCTGTCCCAGGTCTCCCAGTCAAAGAGATTGCTAGCGGCAACCCAGGGTGCTGTCTCATTAATGTAATCCCAGGCCTGGGTTGCTTGTTGGTCTGACAGACTGAGGCCACGACTCTTAAGCAGCAGCCTTAATGCCTCAAGAGAAGAATCTAACTTAGAATTGGCCTTCCCTATATCTTATGGGGGTCACTCACCCGCAGACCGATTGGCCTGTCAGCGAAGAATTAGCGAAGAATCACGTTGGAGTCACCAGATGTCAGTTCCGACACGCGGGGAGGGGAAAAGGAAATCCTCAGAGCCAGCCAATAATCCGTTTTTCCCCTCGGGGTTGAGCGGGATGGTGAGTGCGGGGCTCAAAAGGAACACAGAGCCGGGTGCCGAGTCAGAGCAGGAACACACTTTATTGTAGCAGGCACAGGTATTTAAAGGTAAAGTCTCACAGCGGGAAGTTTGAGCCGTGAGTGACAGTTGCTTCTGGTGTCGTGGACCTATGGGCTGAGGGGCCACTCTGTACCCAGGACTAAGGCAGGGCCAGGTGGAGCTAATCCTATGTCGGGGATGAGTTTCCCCATCCCTCCCCCTTGACCTGTGCCAGGCGCCATCTTGGTGAGAATCGAAAGTGACCAGACAGGTGGGCCGACTCTAGGTCAGGCTGTGGAGACTCCAGAACTCATAGGCCGAGGGTGTGGCTGCACTCAGGCAGCCCCGACAATATGGAATCTTACTAAAGATATCATTTATCTTTTAAATTTATCTATATTCTTGGAAATGTCTTCGTTGTTCATTTTAGAACAATAAACTGACAAAGTCACCGCAAGTAGCAAGAATTCACATCTTTCTAAGGGTAAACGACTCCCCAAATCAGTTTCTTGTCCCAACACCGGACAACTTAGAACAGTAAGACTATCACTGCTAAATATGGAACATACTCAATATGGCAAATTGCCTCTTGTAAAGGATAAACAATCATATTAGCCTAAAAAATTTTATGAAAGTAAACTATACATGTAATTAAACTCCAATGAAATAGATTAAGCAATTATCGAAGAAGCAACAACTATTGAACATTAACATTGGTATAAGAACTGAACTGTTTAACCTTAAAGAGCAAAGTAAGACTATTAGTCTTGTTCTAATGACTACTATGAGTTGAGATTTCTTTTCAAATTCCAAGTGAGCAGCAGACTTACACGATGGGGATCCCAAATTACACTAGTCCCTTGACTGACATGAAAATGGCTTTCTTCCTGTACCTACCTCAGTATTCACAAATGTGATTGCCTTTAAACAAACAAAAACTGTGAGCATCAGCCACCAAAATACTATTGAAAAGGTTTTTGAGCCCTTTGGATCATTTCCGAAGTGAGCCATGCAGAACTGTTTCCAAACCACACTGCCACCCTCTCAAATTCTGCCTGTTGACTTACTTTGTGGCACCGTTGCTTCTGCCTCTCAACTTATTCTCAGTAAGACTTAAAGCTATGAAAGATATGTTCATTATAGGAAATTTGAATAATAAAAACAGAAGGGAAACACCCACAATTCTACCAAATTTTTTTATCCAGGATTTTGATAAAATAATTACAAACCGAACAAGGTATTTCACATCTTTTTTCAATGTTAGAAGAAAAAAAATCTTTAAAAGGATTCATCCAGGCTTTGATAAATTTGGTTAACAAGCATGAACTGACTTAATGGTTAATTGCATCCAGAGTCTTTACTAGGAAAGCAATAGCCATATTACTTAGCCAGTACAGTGTAAATCAGAAAACTAAACACAGCAGGTGTTTCTTTTTGATAAATATCATTTTCATAGATGTGCCTATAATAGCTACCATGTATAAATAGAAAGTATATTTAAGGGTATAATCTTTATATCAACCACAATAGTAAGCTACCATTACTCTCCCTTTATAAAACATGGTCTGAAATCGAACACACAGTTGTTAGATGATAAGCTAAGAGTTTTAGAAAGTAAACCTGTTCCCTCTGCTTCCCGGGGGCTATGCTTCCCACTACAGCCTACCAGCCCATCTTAATCTGCACAGCTAGGCCTGTGGCTAAGCTCTTGAAATCCTCATTCCTTCCTCTTTTTAAAATTCATATCAATAATGTTGAGCACAGCTAGGTATATTAAACTGTTTCTATGATTATTTTGCCCAAACAAAGCCCTAAATTCAGGATTATTTCATTAGATGCAGAAACTCTTTTAAGGTTATTTGTACATATTGTCAATTGCTATCTCAGTGGGGTTATCCAAATTATAATTCAATCAGCAGAGTAGGAGAACCTTGAACTTCATTGTTCCCTCCATAAAAATCTTGGTTCACTTAATATATGAAAAATGATTCTTCACTGTTCATTTTTATCTCTTATCCACCAGGTTTTAACACATGAAGTGTCCATTCTACAGAATGAACTGTACATACAGGCTAAGTCCTTGAACTAAAAGCTGTGGGAGTAGCAATCAGGCCTTTATTTCCCTTTATTCACCAGAGTCATCCAACTCTGACTCTAAGTCAAACACCGTAAGATGAAAGACCTCAAAGAGTCATGGATAAGAACGACAGACACATAAACACAAAATACAGAACAGAGTGGCCAGCAATGTGACCAAAACAAGAGGGGGAGGTCCTGGAAGCCTTTTTGGGCATGCTAAGTCCTGAGCTCTGAGCTGAAGTAAAGCAAAATGTAGCCATCCCTGACTAGCACACCTCAGTGGGGTTTTTTTTAATTATTTTTTTTTCATTACAGCTTTAACATATTCCGTAACAATTTCCAGAGCAAGGATACATCTCTTTCAAAAGTGGCTATAAATTTTTAGGTTCACAGTTGAATTAATACAGTTATACAATATTGAACTCAGTATAAACCCTGTAAAACATAAAATTGAATGAGTTTTTGACCTTTAAAAAAAGATCTCCATTTCCAAAGGTATAATTTGTCCAAGCCTACATTTTCCAAGTGTTTAACCACAAATTTTCTGTGTTCCTAAAATACTGTGATACCTCACTGAGCACTTACCATTCCATTTTAAAATATGCTGTTTCCTACATTTTTAATGCTACTAACACTTAGATGTTTATACATGTCTTTAATCTAATCTCTATGTATCTGATTCTTACTAGTCACAGTCAGTTACACTCAGATCCTTGGCACCTGAGTATGTGTATAAAGTCATCAAGTAGATGTCAATGGTAATGTTTATCACCTCTACTAACATGAAGTAAATTTTTATGCTTCCTCCTCAAATATGGCTTTTTTTAATTTGCTGATTTTTTTGTATGTATATCATATAGAACATTCCAACAATTTTATTCATCTATACACCCACTTCCCAAATGGCACCCTCCCATAGCGCCCCCCACTACAGCCCATATACTCTGTCATCTCTTTTACTGTCCACTGTGTTGTTGGCACCCCCAGCCAGTCCCCAGAGCTTGTCCATCTGCTGAATCTAGTCAGCCTATCTAGAGATCCTTGTTTTAGGAAGATCAGCTGTTCCTCATCTAGCAGCAATCTCGTCAATATTCCTTTAGATAAGATTGGGGTCTGCTGTTCATTTTCCCAGTTCTATGCTGGGTTACTGTCTGGGAGTCTTTTGGGACACCCTGGCCAATAACTCAAGGGAAGGTATCTCTTGTCTGGCATTGTTTCTTGTTATGTAGCCTTTAGCTATACATATGGACTCTAATATATGCCTAGGCAAGGTTTATTTGAGAGCATTTGGTCTTTGCCCAAGCTTTATCTACATGGCACATGGTAATTAAAAGTACCAGACTGATGGAACTAACTTCTTGAATGTTTAACAGCCATACTATGAGGCCTATACTAATTTGGACAGAGGGACATAAAAGACAGTTTTTGCTCCTTTGCCTCCTAGGTTGACTAAGTTCCAGGGGACTATGAGCATCTCTCAAAATGTCCCGTAACTGTGGTGAGTCACCAGTCCTCCTGATCAAGGAGGCTATGGAGACCCCACCAGATGGACTTGAACCAGTGTCCAGTCTACAAAGAGGAGGGTCAACACAGAGGAAACATTTCCTCCATGCTTCCAAGTGAAGCCAGCCATGGTTGAGCAGGACCTTTGACTTACCTTCATAGGCAGAACTCGTAAAAGAATGGAGCCAGGGGCTTCTCCCAAGCCCATGTTATCCCTGAGGACCAGATCCTCAAACATCTTAAGAGTGAAAATAAAGTGGTTTATCTGGGCCAACTGTAGGGTCTTAAACACCCAAAAGGAAAGTATAACGAAAGATTAATGAGGTCAACACAATTTTTTAAGACTCCATACATATAGCTAAAGGCTACGTAACAAGAAACCTCAGTGTTCTTTCACCAGAGCAGCTGAAACACTATTGCACTTGTCTCCATGCGTTTCACTGGGTTGAATGTCTTCATAGGGATATACATTTGTTCAATTAGATTTTAATCCTAGCTACAAAGCCATTTCCTCCTATTCCTCCTATTTTTCCCTCTTGACATTTACATATGTGAATTATCCTTTTGAATGTGTAAAGTGAAGTTCCCTGGGAAAGCTACACCTTTGTTGAGGACTCTGCAAGTTGATTTCAAGTTCTGCGACCGTTTAGAGTTGGAAAGCTGCAGATCAAAAGCCAAAATTATCTTGGCCTATCTTTAATCCTCTTAATATCCACTTATCACCCACCTCTCATCTGATCTAACATTCTATCAACTACCAGGTAAAACCTTTGGAATCTATTAACTTAGTTGATTATTAGCTTACCAACTCAAAAGCCAAGAAGGCCATCACACAGCATTTGGAATGCAGCAGAGATTTCCCTACCTTGCTTATAGCTTGTGTACTGTGATGACCCCACTAATGGATTTAGAAGATGCATTGATTTATGGCTGTCTTTTGTTCTGTAGTAATATAAATTCATATAACTGCTTCCATTATGGTCACTAGGGCAACTTGAGTCCTTGGTCCCCCAAGCTGTGGTCACGCATGTTTACCTCAGAAGAAACGCTCTCTTACCCCTTTGGAATGAGAGCTGAGTTTTGCAATGACCATTGTAAAAACACTGTTCACCACGGGTTCATGAGAAAGGTTAAAAGGAAAGGAAGTAATATAAGTGTTGGTGAAGTACATGGATAACAGGAACGTGCTTAGAGGCTGGAGAAATCGGTATAGTCACTTTGGAAAGCGGTTGGCAGACCATAATAAACCAGTTCTCACATAGCCTGACTCAGCAATTCCACTCTTGGGTACACAAGTACAGGCATCTGCTCACCAAATGGCATTTTTTCCACTAAAGTGGCACTATTCAGTTGCTCCTAATTAGAAAATACACAAATGCTTATCAACAGTAGAACAGATAAACTTATCGGTATGATCACATGAAGGCGATGTTAAAGGCAGAGTCGGATTTTTGAAAAAGTTGTTACTGTACGAGTATTCTATAAAGTATAAAAATATGCAAAACTGTTGTTCTTTTAGGAAATAGGAAAGGGAACAGGAAAGGACATGAAAGGTGCTTCCTCTGGATGCTGGTAAGGTTTTTTCCTGAGATACTGATACAGTTGTACTTTTTTCTGTATGCATATTACACTTAATACTTTCTTGTGAGAAAGGATGCTGCAATGTAGCCCAGGCTGGCCCCAAACATGAGATCCTCCTGCCTCCTCTTCCTCTTTCCAAAAGAAAAATTGTTTTAAAAGCTGGAAAATACTGATTATGTTTAAAGTTTTTAAAACCGTCCACAATTCCATTATCCAGGCAACTGCTTAAATTAATACATTGAATTCCTTCCTGCCAGTTTCCTAGAGCCTGTGCACACTTGGTTCTTCTTTAGCCTTCTCCTTGATTTTTATCCAACCACAGAACTACTGGGTCAACAGCATTTTTTAAGAACTGAGTTCGTTGTTTCCCCCCAGAAACGGTGCACCAATTTACAGCCCCACTGGCACGGTGTGAGTGCGCGGTGTGGCCCAGTCCCCAGTAGTTTCTAGTGATCGGTTTAAGACGGCGGGGCTTAAGGCACGGCTAAGGGAGCTGCCATTTCAACACAGCTGCGCCTCGCTAGCTCCGGAAGCCTCCGGAAGCCGGGCCTACGCGCCAGGTTCCCAGCGTCTGGCGCAGCCCGGTAGCCGTGGGAACCGCGGCACATCTCGGCGCCCGCTGAGCAGCGGAACCTGAGGGGCGACGGGAGGCCAGGCATGGAGCTGCCAGACCCCGTTCGTCAGCGCCTGGGCAATTTCAGCCGGACGGTGTTCCGCGACTCGACCCGCACCGGGCCGGAGTCCAGTGAGGCTGCGGGTGAGTGGCACAAGGGTGTGGCTCGTGGTCGAGCCGCGCAGGCCTTGCCCGGGTCAAAAATGGCGGCTTCGCCTTCAGCCCGGGTGTCGCTGCTCCGCCGTGGCACCTTCCTGTGTAGGAAGCTGGAGCCCTCGTGTCCGCGAGGCGGGCGGTCGCGTGCTCCAGCCCACCGGTTCCCACCATCTCTGATGGCTGACTGGGAAAGCATCCTCCACTCGGCCGGCGTCCCAATCCCCGTCCCTGCCTTGTCGGTCTTTTCCTGCCCTCCTGGAACCAGATCCCGCGGTGCTTCCTCCGCCGCCTTTACTGCTTCCGTCGCAGATCACACCCATATTCCTTTTTCCACGCGTGAACTCTTTCAGGGAATAGGACCTTTTTGCTTCCGCTTGGTTTGGACTATTTTTTAAAAGATCATTAGAAAGCAAAGTCACCTCCCATAGTTGCATTTTATCATCTGGTCATTTGCCCAGTCCCCAAACGTGGCCGCTTTGTTATTTCGAAAAACCTGGAAAATTGTGTTTCCATGTTTCTGACTCTAAGGGTGAGCCTTGACAGGCTCTAAAATCTGATAATACAAGGTGTCTGAAGTCAGTAGATGGATACTGAAAAATGTCAAATAATATTTTACAGTCTGTAGGCTGCTACAGCAGCCTTAAACAGTGATGTATGGACATGGCTGGATAAAACTAAGGACATTGAAACTTGAATTTTATATGACTTCCACCTGTCACAAAGTATTTTTTCCCAACCATTTAAGCATGAGAAGAGCTGTTTTAAGTTCGCTGCCTGTGCCAATACAGGTGGTTGGTCTGCAAAGTTTGCCTGTCCAAATATAATGCTTTAAATTTCATTTACAGACCTCAACTTGAAATTGTAAAATTTAATAAATCACATCTTGTACTTTCATGATTCTTTCACATATTAACAATTTTGCAACTGAATAAATTTAATCTGTTGAAGTCAAACAGATCAGCACATCCACAGCTGATCAAAATTCCTTGCAATTTTTTTTTCCAGCATTGGAAATTGAACCTAGAACTTTGATAGTCTAAGTAGCCACTCTATCACTGAGATCCCCACAGCCTTAATAAAAACAAAACAAAACAGACAAAGAAAACTTTATTTTGTAGGACATTCACTAAGTGCCCAGACTGGCCTGAAATTTACTTCTAGTTCAGACTAGCTTTGAACTTTGAATATTCCTGCCTCAGTCTCTTTGTAAAGATTTGACTACAGTTTCTGCTCTAACCAATGTCCTATTATTTTCCCATGTTTTCTTCTTGGTGGATCTGAAGTAAGTTTGATTATACTGTAATAAGTTTATATCATGCCACATCCACAGCTGATCAAGAATTGTACTCTTAGGAAAAAAAAATCCTAGGCTAGTGAATTTTTTTCAGACTTAACAGATTTTAAAAATTCATTCCTGTAGCAGGGGTAATTTAATAAATTAGGATATGCAAAAGGAGATCACACTAATCAGGCATAATCTTGAAGGTAAAGGAGATTGTTTTGCTGTGAGAGACCATGATTATTTCTAATATTTTAAGGTATTAAATATTAAATTTTTTAAACACGGAGAAAAAGAAAAAAATGTTTCAAAGAAATTCATATTGATCTTTCTAAAACTCGTACATTTAGACCAACTAATTTAAAATATATGCCCATTTTTAAAATGTAGTTAAATGTAGAATGTAGGGCTTCATTTTAAAAATCAAATTCTTAGTTGCAGGCACTTCTTCCTTACCTGATAGCAAAGGGGATTGGGTCAGCTAAACAGAGCTCGTGTCACAAATGGCTCCCCTGGTGAAATCCTCATGATAGTATGCTTTCAGAAGCTCGTTCTTCCTGCTTATGTTGCTTGGTATTCAGATTATGTAAAGCAAGATAATAGATTGTGAGCAGGAAACGGTCTGTGCTTACCTTGAGACTGTATGTAGTTGTAGAAGATGGCACTGTTGGATGGGTACCCATTAAGTGTGACAGCCACAGTGGTCAAGGAAATATTTGCAATATTTCTAATCCTCATGAGCAGCCTGTGAGGAGTTCTAATGTTATCACTGCAGAGATGATTAAGTTAGTGCTCAGAACGGTCAACTAATTTATCTCAACTCTGGTGTCCAGATTCATTTGGATTCTAAAGGCCATGTCTTCAGTGCACCACACTACGTCTTGGGTGAGGAGTAAGATTCTTGCCAGTACTTCTTATACACAGTGTAGAGTGATAAATACCTGAAGGGGAAAGAGATTTCTGCTGGGGTGGGAAAATATGATCAAGGAAGGATTTGAGGGGAAAGTGGCACTAGATTGGGTATTGAGGAATGTAGAGGGTTAGGATGTGCTGAAAGGAAGAGCATATGTATCTATAGTTTAAGGGCAGTTATCATATGAGAGTTTACCCATAAGAGATTCATTTTATAGAACTCTTACATAGTGCCCTAAAGGAGCAATGATAATCATCTGTTCTTAGGATTTCATACTGACATTCCTTTTTTGGATTTTTCGAGATAAGGCTCCATACGTAACCCAGGCTGGCCTCAAACTCCCTACGTAGCTTGGACTAGCCTCAAACTTGCTATTCCCCTACCTCAGCCTCCGACAGGATGACAGGAATGTACCTCCACACCCAGCTGATACTCCATATTTAATCTAAACAAATAGTGTACAAAAACGTCAGTAAACTGTAATGATGAAATAAGTAAATAATATGAAACATACTCCCCAGATAATCAATATTTGAAGTAAAAGATATTATGGTGACTATTCCTTATAGTATTAATGATTATAAATAGGTCTAACATTTGGAGTTTTATTGAGCCAATATTATTGATTCTCGGAATAAAAATATTTACAGGGCATTGAACAGGATTACAAATTTGTCCTTTTTTTGTTTCTTCTGTAGATAATGAAATGGTCTCCAGTTTGCCACTGCAGATGTCACTTTATTTTAACACTTACTTTTTCCCACTGTGGTGGGTGAGCTGCATCATGATGCTTCACATGAAGGTAAGTCTATGCCTCGCTACTGCTGTTCTTCCCTCACATGACATGGCCAGGAAAAGTTCTTAAAACTTTGATTCTGGGGGCTGTAGAGATGGCTCAGCCATTAAGAACTGGCTGTTCTTGCAAAGGACCTGGATTTGGTTACCAGCACCCACATGGCAGCTGACTGTCCATAACTCTAGTTCCAGGGCATCTGACACTCTCTTCTGGCCTCCATAGGCATTACAGACACAGGTGCACTCACATACATGCAAGCAAAGCACTCATTCATACAAAATTAAATTGATTAATTAAAAAAATTTCTATTCCAGGCAGGTGTTGCTTTCTACAAAATTTTATAAACATGTTTTACTTTAAAAAATTTATTTTTATTTTATGTGTATGAGTGTATTGCCTCCATATATGTAAGTGTACCTGTGTTGTGCAGTGCCCACAGAGGTCAGAAGAGGGCATCGGATCCTCTGGAACTGGAGCTCCAGATGGTTGTTAGCTACCATGTGGGTGCTGGGAAACAACCTCTTAACCTCTGAGCCATCTTCTCCAGCCCCATGTTTTGCTTTTTGTTTTTAGTATTCGGTCTTGCCTGATTACTACAAATTCATTGTGATCACTGTTATCATCCTAATAACCTTGATTGAAGCTATCCGGTTGTACCTGGGCTACTTGGGTAACCTGCAGGAGAAGGTAGGCTCGTCTTCCTTTCTTTCAGTGCTGCACATCAGTTCAGTAAGTACAAGGCAGGGAGGGGTGGTAGGAGCGCTGGCCTGGGCCAAAGGCCTAGCTCCAACTTGGGGACTTCCGTCTCTGCTTAATCTTTTGAGCTCTGGTTTCTTCATATATATAAGACAAGGAAAATAATACTTAATGAGTTAATTGAGGTTAGGTGAACTGATATAAAGTATCTGAACATAGTAAACACTAGCAATTGGTAAGCTTTCTTCTTAATCTTGAAAATATTTGGTCAATAGTAGAGAAGGGAGTCAGCCAGAGTAGGAGAGGATGAGGGAGGAGGATGGGGGTAAATATGATCACAGTACATTTGGTACTTGTATGTATTTGCAAAAAAAAAATGTGTCTGTTTAGATCCTTGAGAGAAGAGAGATCCACTTCCTATGCCAGGCCTCTGTTTACAAAATCATCAATTTGCTTAAGTATTTACAGTTTCTAGAGTATTAAAATAGTTCTGTGGTTTGCTAGGTCCATCATAATTAAGCCAACCAGTATATCTTGCTGTATTTCTTAACTTTTTTTTTGGAGCAGGGTCTCCTTGTAGTCCCAGCTGGCCTGGAACTCACTATGTAGATTAGGTTGGCCTGAAACTCACAGAGATCCTCCTGCCACCGCCTCCCAGGTGCTGGGATTGAAGGTGTGCCCTACTGTGCCCGGCCCTTCTTGCCATTTCTTCAGCCAGTCACTCATTCCAGGGTGATATGTTGATTCCCAGTTATGCTGGTGCTTCCCAGGTTAGACTGTCACCTCTTTCCTTGTCCTTTTTTGAAAAAATTTTATTTGTATGTGTGTACACATGAGTCCAGTGCCCTTGGAGGTTAGAAGAGGGCATTGGATCTCCTGGAGCTGGAGTTAGAGGTGGTTATGAACCATCAGATAAGGGTACTGGAACCAAACTGGAGTCCTCTGGAAGAGCAGTAAATGCTTTTAACTGCCAAAACATTGCTCCATCCCTGTCCCTGTCCTTCTTTGAACAACTTTAAAAGTTGAACATCCTTGAAGTCTTTCTTTCACCTACTCTAACACTATCTCTGTGGCATTTAATCTGTACCTTTAAATGTTGCATTCCAGGGGGTGGAGAGGTAGTTCAGTGGTTACAACACTTGCGCTCTCGAAGAGGATTGGGTTTTGGTTCCCAGCACCCACATGGCAATCCCAGTAGATCCGATGCCCTCTTCTGGCCTCCACAGGCATTGAATGCATTACATGCATTCAGGCAAAACAATACACATAAAAATATTTTTTGTTTGTTTTTCAGACAGGGTCTCCCTCCAGCCACAGCTGTCCTGGAGCTAACGATGTAGACTAGGCTGGTCTTGAAGACAGAGATCCACTTGCCTCTGTCTCCCAAGTGCCGGGATTAAAGGTGTGTGCCACCATGCAACACAAAATAATTTTTTTTCATGTTGCATTTCAATTTTTGCTGAAGTATAAGTTGTCTCACATTGTTTTTCTCATCTAGATAGCTCTCTAAGGGCAAGGCCCATGGAATGCTTCTTTTGAATTACTCAGTGTACTGTAGTCATTGTAGTACTGAGTACCTGTTTGTGTGCATAACAAAAAGCTATATTTTCCTGATCTTACAACTCTTGATGTGTCTCTGCAGGTTCCTGAGCTGGCTGGCTTTTGGCTTTTGAGCCTTCTACTGCAGTTGCCTTTAATTCTTTTCTTGCTCCTTAATGAAGGCCTAACAAATCTGCCCTTGGAGAAGGCAGTACACATCATCTTCACTGTCTTCCTTACTTTCCAAGTCATTTCAGCATTTCTAACTTTGAAGAAAATGGTCAATCAGTTGGCAGCTCATTTCCACCTCCAAGACTTTGACCACCTGTCTGCAAAAGGAGATGTGAGAAGGATGAGGTCATGTATAGAAGAGCTTTGATCCAGTACTGCTGAGTGGTAGTCTGAAAGATGATTCTAGAAGACCGAGAGAGCTTCAGAACATCTGTGGTGGAGCATGAGCAAAGGGGGGTTGTATACTCTAGCTCTGAGCTTCCCCTGGAGGCAGTGATGAGACCGCACATGGGATGTGAACGCAGTACATCAAACCCAAAGTCTAGATGTCCAGCTGATGCAGAATCTCTTGATTTTGCTGCTGTAGGATTTTCAGGTGTTTACATGTCTGTCTATTGCTGACTGTAGCCTACCAGCTTTTCTGTAATGTTTCTAGTTATAATCTAGAACTAGAAATCTGTATATTTCTTTTAACCTTGTCAGTTATGGGCTGTGATGTTTCTTGAAGCATATGGAAATGCTTGCTAGTCAGTATGCTTATGCATTAGACTATATTTATAAACCAAGAGACCAAGTTTTCATGTGTGCTAGTGCTAAATTCTAAATCTAGTCTCAGTTGTTACACGGAGATGAAGGCAGGTGGATTCTGGTATTTAGGGAATATTTTTGTCATAAAATTGTAATTTTCATAAAACCATGTTCAGTATTTGTGGCGGTGGCGGTATGCAAACTATTTTTACCATAAATTATAAACTATTTGTGTTACAGTGTCAGCAACACAGTCTACTTGTCTTGTGCAATTCTTCTGAGTTTCGAGTTTGTTTTAATTAGGGCTATAAAGGAAGCGAAGTATGAGCACCCACTATAAAGCAGGCACTGTAGGGGGCCCCATTGAGTTCATCTGTAAGGCTACTGTTCAATAAAACACTGATACATGTACATAGCCACTAAATTCACATGAAGCCTGACCCATGTTACACACGGTGAGAGCTGTACTTATGATCCTATTTGGAGCGTGTTCCCTTATGGAAAAAAAGAAACCTGTTTAAGGAAATTAAGAACAAAATTTCTTGGGCTTATCTAAACATTATTTTTAAGTGTTTATTTCGATTATCCTGAGGGATAGAATATTTAATTTTCAGGCTTTCTTCTGTCCTATAAGGAAATACACCTTTATAAGTAATGTATTTTACTGAGGGACTACTTACACTACATTAGAAATTGTCTCCAATTCTTTTATCGTAATTCATGCTTATCTTAGAATTTCCATGGTTTGCCTTATTAATTCTTTTGCCTACTTTTAAAAAATTGCTTCGGCCGTTCTATACTCCTAGTTTGAGCCCTGCGCCACTCCTAGTCTTGGGGCCCCAGACACCTGGGGAACCAATACTGCTTCCTGAACCTTCTCACCCAGACCAACTCAGTGCCTTTCTTGGGCCCCAGGAGCACCAGTTCTGATTCTAGCCCC